GCCCCTGGGTAGCATAATCTTATTCTTCTCTCCCTATTTACCCCACAGCCTATTCTATCCATATGCCTTATCAAGAAATCACCTATAACTATAACCTCCTTATCATCCACATTCTTCTCTGACCCTTTTGTTTTCCTTCCCTCCATTAGTTCCCCAACTGCAGATGCCAAGGGTTGAAATTTGTTGTTCAAGAGAATAGGCTCATTATAACAAAATTCACTATTTTTACTCTTAATAATAGTACTCTTTCTAACTTCCTGAAAGACATTGTTAGCTGATGTATACCTTGCATGTAAAAGCTTAAGCTACTCCTGAAATCTTGTTGCCATTTCCCACAGTTTACACTTCTCTTTATCTATTGCCTCTACTTTAATTATGATAATCTCCAACCTACAAATTGTACATAAAAATTGCACATTTTAGATTTGTATTTATTGTTTATAGTAGGTTACATACTGATGAATTTGTTAGATTTTTGTATAAAGATCTTGATGTCGGCTGATTTATTGTTCTTTATAGAAATTGACATGTTGCATGTTTTCAGCCCTCTCATGCTGACAAGATGAAATATTCTGAGGTGAAGAAGGTGATGACAGAACTAAACAGAGTTAGAAAGGAACTAAAAGGTTACTACAAAAACTTTGATATGTTTAATATAAATATGTTATGTACGAGAATCCTTCTACAAGAAGTTTGATATCTTTAATATAACTATGTTATGTACGAGAATCATTCTACAAAAAGTTTAATACTATGTTATGTATGAGGATCTTTCTACAAGAAGTTTGATATCTTTAACATAACTATGTTATGTACAAGGATCTTACTACAAGAAGTTTGATATATTTAACATAACAATGTTATGTATGAGGATCTTACTACAAGAAGTTTGATATCTTTAACATAACTATGTTATGTACGAGGATCTTACTACAAGAAGTTTGATATCTTTAACATAACTGTGTTATGTACGAGGATCTTTCTTTCCCAATGAAGAACTTTGGTAATTACAAAAAAATATTATTTTTTTCATGTTTAATATGCATTTTAACTATAATGGCTATGGCTTAGTTTACAGTATGGACTTTGAGAGAAGAAAAATGCCAATATATTGTTGATTATTAATGAGTAACTTAAAAATGCACATCTTTATGTTAGTTGATTAAATTCTTAACTTAGTTTGGTGAGGTTCACATTAAAAAAAAAAAAAAAAATACCGATTAAATTTAGCTGTACAAGAGAAGAAAAAAAGAACCCCTATGATTCACTCTCAACTTTGCTTGCTAAATTGTTGAAAACATAATGATAAGTTTTATTCTATCGTTAGTTGGAAAATTTAATGGTGTGTATATTACCAGACTGAAGTTGGTTAGTCCAAACTTTATGGAGATTTGGTGTACTGATTCAATGGTTTATTACTTGATTTGAACTGTTCATTGAAGAATATTTAGAAATATTAAGATTAAAAAGTTTCTTATATATTCCACAGTAGTTGTATCACAATTGTAAATTGTTACTATATAGCTTTTTCAAAAATCTGAATGATTACTTTTTATTTTTTCTATAGGTTTGCGAGAAGAGCAGCAGTTGGAGCAATATTCTCATGACTCTACACCACTATTCTTCACTGGCGGGATTCGGAATTCTGATGTGTTGGATGTAGACAATTATAAATACCTCAAAGAAGATTTCTTCAAAGAGACCATGACAGAATTGTACGAGAAGAACTTCGTTCATGGATCACAGGTTGTGGAAATAACACCATGTGTAAATGTGTCATGATTTTTAATGTATATAATTGATCTACTTTGAGGGAGCTGTGCATTTCAGAAATTTCTATTTATTGATAATTGTTGCACACAACTAATTTTAATTCGTGCTATTTGTGCATCCACAAACCATGGGTAACAAGTCGAGTATTGGCAATCACTGATTATATAGTGCTACTTGTACATCCACAAATCAAGTGTAATCAATTATCATCTTATGACAGTGACAAAACAGGTATTACAATAAGAAAAATGGGTACATAACTAAACTCCAGAAGCTTTGCATGTGAAATGAGTATCCAATAAAATGTCTCTTGAGACAAATAATACTAGGCTAGGAAATGTGAGTGTACCTTCTTTAACTTGGGAGTTTTTTTTTTTAGTCTTTAGTGATTTCAGTGGTCACAAAAATTTTGAAGATGCAGACTTTTTTCAAAGTTGCGAGAAATTTCCAATTTTGCTATATTATGATATTATAATCTATTATAAATTTGTTTTACACAATTCCTACCCAATAACCATGCGAGGCACCTCAGATATTGTTGACTGGTTAATTGCTCGTGGAGGGTGTGCTTACATCTTTAATAGACTAGAGCTCTAATTTTGAAAAGTTAACGGGTCTTAAAAAAAAAACAAGCTTCAGCATTCATTTAATTTGTATTGTCAAGTTGATTAGTGATCAAATTCTTTAAGTTATTCAGAATTTCACCTTGTATTCCATTTGTTAGGAATACTGCTTTAACCAGAGGCCAAGAAGTGGTACTATGGATGGCACTTACCTTGTGCAATGTTGTAATACTTTGGAAATATGAATATTGCCTTTCTTTGGCTTAACTTCCTTAGAAAGAATTGTGTAGTTTAATGAAAATTTAAAATTATTGGTTAATTACCAAGTACATAAATGCTGCAGTATAATATTCCAGACAAATAAATTAAAAAGTATACCTTAGTTAATTCAAAAGTAATGTAGAACAGTGGAACTAACTAAATATTCTGAAGTGACGGTACTTTGATACTTTATCCTATTTGCTGTATCTTTCTTGTATAGGGTTCTTATAATGCAATGTGTTATGCAAAAATATAAAAGAAATTAGGCTTTATATTAATAATTTTTCTTTATCTTTTCTGTATTATCTCGGAAGTATACAGAATTATTTACTTGTTTATTTTTTCCAGCAAATCTGAATTTTAAAATAATATTTTTCTTTAAATAGTTGTGTTTTGATTAATATTTTGTAAGTTACAGAAGAGGTTGTTATTCTTGTTCATGAATTTTAAAAATTGATTACAAATTATTTCTTTTTCATAGGTTGTGACAAAAGACAAAGTATTGGAGAAGAAGTTAACCAGCCAGAAAAATGGGTTGAAGTTTGAAAGTACTGTTGATCAAATGTTTAAGAAGGCTGGTGAAAATGCATTACATCCTACTCAGGACCATTATTTTAATACGAAGCGCTCGGTTGGTCGAACCAATTTCTTTGCAAAAGAACAGGGAATGGAGCTGCAGCCTATTTTGGAGCACGTTGCCATGGACTTTGTATCCATGAAAAAAACAACTGATCCAACGGTGAGTATATAACTTTAAGATGTAAATCAATATATTAGTAAGAAACAGATATATTAGAAAGGTCAGGAATTCCCCAAACTGTGCTCAATTACCAGTTTATGGAATAATTCATTACAGAATTAGAATTTTTTTTCATCAATTTATAAGACTAAAGTAGACTATACATAAATTCTATAATTTTCAGATGGAAGAAAATTTACTCTGTTTGAATGAAGCTCTTAAACCTAAAGACCAGTCATGTTCCTACGACCACAAAGGGTTAGAGGTAAAAAAATCAGCAAAAGATTATGCAAATTCAAGGTTCAACAACTCCAAGCTTCACAAATTGTCCTTGTAAGTAAAAGTCTTTCTATATATATATACTACTTGTGTTATTTTTTGTACCAACTAAAATGTTTTTTGCATATTTTTCCTAATGTAATTTCTTTACAAGAAATATATATTTTTCCTTTATATTTCAAGGCCTGAACTTATTATACAACAAAGACAGACTAGAGCTGAAAAAAGAAGGCTTAGGAGGGAGTTACGTGAAATTGAAGAAGGACTTCAACAAAAAAATGAAAGGTATGATTTTTATTATTTCTAGCATGTGTTTCACAACACCTTTATTTTGTGCTGATTTTATGGTTTGTATAACTAAAACATTTAGTGGCTAAAAGGCTTGTAGTAGGATATTGGCTCTAGACTGGTGGTCCAGTTTGGCAGTTACTACCTACCGTAAATATCCTGCCAATTTCCCCCTTCCTTTGTTGAATATATTGGGTGGTTGTCATGTTTACTTTGGGGATAATTAAGACATTTGAAACCTAAGCTCTTGAAATTTTTGGAACATCTCATTTAAATCTGTAAGGATATGCTTGATATTCTTATTTGTAGTAATATTGTGTTAATAATTAAAGATAAGTTGATTTAATAATATTAGTAAACTTATTAGTAGGACTAAACTTTTAAATTAGAGCTTAGTGGTGTAAATATTACTAATGTTAATTAGACTTAGTGAGTGTACATACCTAAAATAGTCAAGACTTAAAAACTATATGCATGAGATTGATTAATTATATCAACAAAAACAATGATTTGGTTCAAAAATATTGTTACGTCCCTGTTCGTTTGTTAATTTTCCCTAGAAATTCTTTCCGAAAAACTTCAGCAATACAAGTCCTTCCTTAAATAAAGCTAGTTTATTCTTTCTCAATACAACTTTGCAATACACTTAATTCCCACAGTCAGTTAACTTAAACAAATGCTATAATTCACAATGAATGATTCACGCGCTTGACTCAATTGTCCGTCTCTATCTCTGTCTGCAATTCAATTTCATTGTTGCCGTCACTTCTTGGAGGTCTTGTATACAAGAATACCGTACATCTAGTAAACACTCGAGCATTCAAGAACCTTCGAGAATATCATGACGTGTTACTAGCGTCACGTGACTTCCGCTGTCGTAACAATATTATACATAATATACGCTTAAATATAAATATACACACCAATTTGACTTAACTGTGTGCTTTGTTTTTCACTTATCACACATGTAACTGTTAAACATGTAAGCTCATCCAATCCATGCTAGCAGGGTAAGATAATTTGTTAGAGGGCTTGCAGGCATGACAGTCAATGAATGTGCACTACCAGGTATGAATAGGCCTTATTGTTGTGATAACAAGTGACATAGGCTTTGTTGTGGGATAAGCCAAACGTTCGGGGCTAATATAATGGGTGAGATGTGCTTACAAATATTTGTGTATAGTTATTGCTAGAATGATTATGATTCTCATTACAAGATACTTTAGAAAAAAAGTCATCAGGTTTACAATGAGCACAGAAAAAAACTACATGCATGTTTGTATAATGTGTATGCCTAGCTACACTGTTGCCTGGCCTACTTACAATACAGTTTATCAGTAAGTTACAATGTATTTAACCTGTTTTATATTATCTAAACACTAGTTATATATCATTTCTATATTTTAAAGAGATAGTTCATTACTTTAGTGTCAAAATAAAGCAGTGATAAAATGGTGTAATATAATTAATTTTCAAACATAATTTTGTCAATAAGCTACTCATATTTAGTGTTGAATATCCATTCCAATCATACTACAATGGTTAAGAGTAGTGTAGGTGTTAAGTGGTCATCACAGTTTGTGGGGTGTGATGAGTGCAAAGAGTGAGTTTTATTTGGAACTCAGGACTGGCATGCACTTTCAAGGAAGCTAGTAGTTAGTGAAAATATGTAATTTATTTGTAGAGTTTGTAAGTTCGAGGAGAAACTGGAGACTATTCTAAATGGATAGGTAATAGATAGACTTTTAAGAATTTAGAATAAGTACTGATAAAGCTGGAATTAGTGGATTTAATTGTAATGAGAAGGTTCTATTAAGTAGCAAATTTCAGCTTTTAGCTTGTGCAATTGAACTATGGAAGAGAAGAAAAATAAAAGGGATGTGAATACATCACTTAATGTAGATTATCGTTTAAAGGTGATTCTTTGAAAGATTGCAAATGTGAATTGGGCCACTGAATTAATTGGAGATATGGATAAGAATGTGAAAAACATTTTTAAATAAGTTTTTAGGTATTCAAGATGCATATTCCTTATCAAGAAAAAAAGGTGGCTATTAGTGAAAAAACTATGTTGGCTTACAAAGAGTATAAGGGATAAATTTAAAAAAAGCATTATAAACTTAAGTTTAAATTGACTTAGATCATAGAAAATTAAGAGTGGTCAAACAGGAAGTTAGGAAACCAATAAGAGTATGTGATGAAACATTAGCTGAAAATGTAAAAATTAATAGTAAGAATTTCTTTAAATACATTAAGGGTAAGCAAAGTGTTAGGATGGGAGTAAAGCATTGGAAGGATGGTAAAGAAAGGCTAGTATCTGATGACTGAGATGGCTGGGTATTCAATTCTACTTCAATTTTGAATAATGAAGATTCTAGAAACATTATTCCAAGAGTTTTAAAGGAATGGACATGTGAACCACTTGCTACTATTTTTGAAAGTCCTTAAAATGAGCAGGTGCCAGAAGATTTGAAGTTAGCTAGTGTAACTCCTCTTTTCAAGAGAGATGATAAAAATTGTCCCAGTAATTATATGCGTATTAGTGTTATATCAGTGGCAGAAAACGTTTCTGAAAGTCTGATAAAAGATGCTTTGCACAGTCATTTAACAAATTTTAAAATTTTGTTTAGTTATCATGGTTTCACTAAGGGGAAAAGTCTTGCCTTACTAATCTTTTGACATTTTCTGACTACTGCTTATGCAGATGAGAGTAAGTGTGTGGATTTGATGTATCTGGATTTTTGGAAAGCATTTGACAAGAAGCTGTTTAAAAGGCTTGTTTAGAAATAAATAAAAAATTCATAGGTATGGGGGGGATAAGTTCGGCTTATTGGATAGAATAATAGCTGAATGAAAGAAATCAGAAGGTTATTATGAATGATGTTTAGCTAAACTGGATTAATGTCATGAGTGGGGTACTTTGGAACTCAATGTTAAGACCTTTGCTCTTAATGAGTTATATCAACAATATAAATGTTCAATAAATTACTAAATTTTCCTTTGATGTTAAGGTCTTTAGTGTTTCTAGCTATGAGGAGGATGCTGCTGTTTTACAAAAGAATTTAGTTGGGCAAATAAATTGCAAAAGACTTCTTAATATAATAAACCAATGTACGTGGGTTATTATAATTTTGATGGAAAAAAACTGTTTTGTTGGAAGAGAATGATCTTGGTATTCTGGTTGACCTGAAGCCATCCAAGCAGTGTGATGTTGTTAATGGTAGGTCAAACGTGATTTTTGAATTCTCGGAGCATGTCTGCGACTAGTTTTTGAGCTATCTCACAGGCAGCACATGTGACACAAACCTGAGTTCTAGTAAGCATCATAATTCAAAGGTTTTTGAAAAAAATGAAATTCGAAGAGTCAAACACCCAAGAGTACATAGAAATGATGTTTTCTCATGAGTGATGATATTCGTGGTCCTACCGAGTTCGTCATTACTTCGGGGGGGAGTGTGATTTATTTTGCAACACCCCATCAACTATTCATGTTTTTAAAATTTTTCAGCTTGGGCACAGGATAGGTAGACTATTCATCCTTGGCATTGGATTTACAGACCCCAGCCACTAGGTGATCCTGTTTACGGTGCTTTGTAGAATGTTTGTCGCCTTGCTTCTTCTCTTCAACATCATCATTTGCCTTGATCTTCTCTCTGCCTCCTGGACCTCCGGACGTTTCTCAAATCTTCATATCTGCCAAATTAGTAGATATGATCTGTATTCAGAGCTTTATTAATCCCACAAACTCGGCAAGAATTTTATCGCGAGCAGGGCAAAGGGGGATATCAAACCCCAATTTAGGAAAGTTTCTTTCCTTTAAAAACTAAATCCCTGTTACGGTTCTCATTTTTTTAAAAGGAGTTTAAGGGAAGGCTTGATAAATATTGAATGATAAGGGTTGGTTTTGAGTCTTTAGTTTAGTTTTAGTGGATGGGATGGCCCAATGGGTCCCTTGTCCTTAAATTTTATCATACAAGTTTGAAATGAAGTTAGCTGATATTATCATGTATTAATTTTATTTTACTGTTCATATTTTTTGAGTATTTTATTTGCCTTATTTTTAATTTTCATGTTTTGAATATAATTTTATGGGATTTTTGTGGTTGCTTATTTTAAAAGTATTTGTTTCAACATTCTGATTCTTGGTAGGACTTTATAGGCGATTTGTTGTAGAGTACATTCATTTCACACGTGTTCGATAGATTTTTACAACTATTAGTTTCATATAATGTATTCAGTGCTTTTGCTTTACTTAAGGCTTTAATGGATATGTTTGAAATCAAACTAATAGTTTGTTTTTTTATGATAATTGTCTGCAAAGGAAAACAGGAACAAAATACAAGTTTTAGAAATTTTGTACAAGTTGAAAAAAAAGGAGTTAAATATTTTTTAGCAGGAAATACAAGAACAAATTAACAGGAATTAGACTGATAGTTTATCATACTAAAGTCAGATCGAACAAAAATAATGAAAAAAAAATCCTAATAAATGAATAGTTCAACTAAAAAATGATGAGCAAAATATAATACTTAGATGCGTTTCATATTCTATGTAAATTTACCCATACATATAGCAAGTAATTTTGACAGTAACTTCATTTTCTAGGAAAATGCCTCAAGAACACAGGATTTCAGTGGAACCAGTATACAGTGAATACAAGGTAAGACTTACCACGGAGGAACTCGCAGGAAATAATTTTTTTTAAATAAAAGGTAATGCATGTGGGATATTGCAACTTGATTTATGAGTATAATTTTGGCGTTCTAATTCATCAGTCTTCTTAAACCATTCAAGCAATGTATTGTTGCTAGTGATAGGGCAAATAGGAGTTGTTTTTATCTAGTGAAAAAATGAATACAAGTCTAAAAGAGGTTATAATTGCATTTCATAGGTCAGGCCACAGTTGGAGTAATGTGTTCAGTCTTGAGCTCCTTATCTTAGAAAGGACATTGAATTGTTGGAAAGGGTTCAGAGGATGGCACCTGGGATGGGAAGGGTTGTCATGAGAAGTTAAGATCTCTGAAATTGTTTTCTCTTGGGAAAAAAAAAGCTATAGGTGATCTAATTGAGATTTTTATGATTAAGGGAATTAATAGTGTTGATGCAGTGTTTTCTCCTCTTTTTTATGTTGTAGTTGTACTTACTTAATGGTGAGAATAGTAACAAGACTAGGGGACACAAATATAGGTTTTGGCAGGGTAGGAGCCATCTTCAGCTGAAACAGCTCGACTTTTTTTTTTCTAACAGGATGATTGACCTTAGGAATGGGTTGCCTTCTGATGTGGCAGATGCAATTAATTTAAGGGAAGGTGCTTGATAAATATTTGAGTGATAAGAGCTGGCTTTGAGTGTTTTGTTTTAACTTAGAGTGTAATATAGTGGATGGGATGGCCTAAATGGAACAACAGGCTGTTTGTTATCTTTATATAATGGAAACTAGTAGGTTTAATTTCTTCCTTTCTTAGTTTCCAAGTAAGCAGGAGACTTTTCAGTGCAGATATATACATTTTAACTTTAAATGTTTAATTGGATATATGATATGTACTTCTATAAATGGGTCTTTCACTTATCTATTTGTAGACCAGTATTTCATTAAACCTTTAAACAGTTGAAATATGATCAACAAGGTAATTCTCATTTCTTGACTGCTTGTTCCTCGCTATGTGTAAACGGTTGTAATTCTAGAGTTGATAATAGTAAGTAATTTAGTTTTTTTGTAATTGATTTGGAAGGTAAACAGCTTTTGGTAGAGTTAAAAAATCTGAATTTTGTATTACTAGCACCTTCTCATCTATATCTTAGTATTGGTTCTTATGGTGTTAATGTTAAGGTTACAAAGATCCAAACTGTGTTTTTACTAGAAGTGAGGTGGCTATTTGTTTTATCTTTACAGCATGCTAAAGGAAAGTTGAAACTCTTAGAAGCACTCGTGACAAAACATGAACTTCATCGTAGGATCTGAGTCTTCAACATTATATTTTGCTTTCTAGCATTCATTTATCTAAATTACATAAAAATAAATCAAACAGACAGGTAGAATAGTTCTTAGTAGGACGTACTAAAATAGTTTTTTCCTGTATTAATAGGTGGCAAAATTAAATGTAGTATACTTATCTCAGATTTTTCTCTGGTCAAAATGTAAATCCTTAAACAGTATGTTTAAAAGAAGAGATACATAAATTTCTCCATGTGGGTATTCGTACTTGTTCTATATATGTGAAGTAGTTTAACATTACAATTTCTCTTGTCTTCTCTCATTAACTTTAGTGTTTACTACGGTATTGTATTTACCGAGTTTTTAATAAGTACTTGTTATTTTAGAGCACTTTTTCTTTTATATATTTACAAAATACTTTCAGTAGAGAAACTGCAGCCTATTTGGTTCAGCAATAGATTTATGAATTTAATTAAAGCTGTTGTATATTAAACGTCTTCCATTTACTGAGAAATTTGGTGCATTTTATGTTGTTGAGGGAAGATAGACCCACCAGACTTTCTATGTAAATAGCTTATTTATTATCATTATTAATCCTGTATACAACCCTCATTACATTCCTCTTTTTTTTTTTCCATGGAAGAAGTACTAATATAAAAAGCAAAACATAACTAAAAAATACTTGGTGTGAATTTAAAATAAATGCATTTACACAGTGTTAATTACTTGAAGTTTTATAACAAAAAAAAGAAAGAAAGAAAATAAACTAAGCAATTGCCCAAGTTAGCGACAGCTGAAAGTACTTACATCTTGGAATGAAATGCTCTATCACATGTTTCACAATAATTTAATAACAGTGTCTAAGAAATTATACTGTAGGGTTGTCTACAGTTTTGACTTAGAAACAAAACTTCACTAATTCACTCTTGCAATAGTAGTAATGTAACTTTGAAGGTTGAGAATGGCCTGCATTCTTCTACTGATGTAACTAGAAAATTATTTGTAAATGTTTGAGGGGGAAAAAACTTGTAGGGACAACTACTCTTCCACAATTATTAGAATAAACTAAAAAATGGTAACTGATAATATTAACTGAAGCTGGATTAAGCATTTACTGCATATGTTTATTATAAAAACCAAAAACTATCATGAACAACAAAATGATTTATCATCTTAGAATTATGGATTCATTCATGCATGTTATGTTATGTTTCTTAAATATTGGGACGTCCACAGCTACATTACAAATACCTGTCATAAAAGCAGCTCATCATAAAATGTATGACAGTAAACATTTACTTACCCCAAAACATAAACAAGACCCATACAATGTCTTAACTTGCATATTTTTAAAGGCCAGTACACCTCTATATACATCTTAGACAAGATCAAGAAATATTGCTATCTATAGTGTTGTTGTTGGCAACATTGGGAGATAGAGATTGTGGTGGTTCAGAGTTTTCAAACAATCAAGTTAAATAATTGACACTTGCAGATCAAGTAACATAAGTTCCGTGTATTCTTAGTGGATAATTTCTACAGCTTCGGGAAGAGCAGCAGCAATCAGTGCATTTGTCAGTGTTTCTTTCAAATCACAGTAGGGATGTTCTTCCTAGGAATAAAAGGGAAAAGTTTCTTAAGTTTAAGTATTTCAATAAACGAAGCTGACTCGCAGTTTTTCAAAGAACTTCTTTTGCTAATGAAGTAGGTTCAAGATTGTTTTTAGTTGAAACTATACATTATGACAAAGTTATCCAAATCCTGCTAGTAGATATTACTGGCCCTAAGCTCAGGAGCTGTTTTCTGACTCGCGATAAAACGGCAATTATCGTCATAGAGTTATAGTTATATACGTGCAACTTATGGATATTTCCGTCATCCGCAGTTATTGGGTTAATCTCACAATTCCTTGATGTGATCAAGAAACTAAAACCAATCTTGAATTGTAATTCTTCTTCAATACACATAGTCAATATGAATTTGCGAATGTTTAATATTTTATAATTACCCTTTCAAGAAAAACTAACTTATTTAAAGCACACTTTTTATGGATCTCTTTACCTGAAACTTCTCAATGATAGCTTTAGCAGGGCTTTGGTCCTTACTACATAACCTCTCTATGGAATTAATTGCCGAATCTTCAAACCCCAAAGTCATTCCTAACTGTTTCCACTGCAGGTTTTTATCCAGCTCCGTGAAAAGCAGGTCCATTTTGTCTAGGTCTTCTGTCTTGATTTCACCTGCCAAGAGTCGATTTATCTATTTAACTGTGTTCAGAGAATTAAAACTAAAAATGGCATTATTGCTTCATGGGAAAACAGACTTACCAAATAACTGTTCTTAGAACACCCCTTCATGATCTTAAAGCATGAAAAATGTTAATATATGAAACCAAAAACGTTGGATGGATTATCTTGTAATAGGGAAGGGGACAGTTTACTGAGATAGAGAAGTTTTTTTTGTTTTTTTTAAACTAATCTACCAGTAATTTATAAAAAATCAGCTCTGGCCAACAACAAAGTGAAATTTAAACCTATGTATTTGTGGTTTAACATTGTATTGGGCAAATTGCAAGTTTTTAAAACTGCGTATCAACATCCTTGTACCTCTCCCTGAAAACAATGAAACTCACCACTGATATATCCAGAGTCAAAAGGTGCAAGTGTGCATGTACCAGACTTCTTAGATTCACCTATTTCTGCTTTGCTATCATGAGACTTCTTCAAGTCACTAACAGAGGAGGAAGATAACTTGGATATACTGGATGAAGATTTAGTATTTGGAAACCTATCTTCAGAATGAGAAGACTGACCAAAAAGAATTTTCTTCATCTGTGTGAGGGCATAAGAAAAAAAAACATTATCATCACATAGTAATTAAACATGAAAATACTTTTAAAATTGAATGCAAGTAAATTTCATAGATATATTTTAAATAATAGAATAAGAGTTCAAACTATCAATGTCGTAAACATGTAAAACACTAGATTCAAGCCAGGAGAAAGCACCAAGTTTAAATGATGAAAAGAAAACTTTATTACCACTCAGTGTTTGTTTATTCAGATTTTAATGGTCAAGTAGCAGAGGTGTTGTTAAGTACTGGGGCTCATAGGCATGGAATTTTACATGTTTCAGTATCATATCGATCATGGTTTTCTATTCTGATTTTTCAAGATGCCAACTGAGAATTTGGGCACCAGCCCTGGGTACCAGTGCCTAGCAATGCCTCTGCAGTATGAAAATCAAATCTTAATTTTGTTGGAAAAGGGGTTCACTATGGTCTGTCTTGTGTGTTTTTTCGAGTAGTTTTTACATCTAACCAATGATATTGTTAGTTTTCTCTGTTCTCTTTTACCAAACAAAAAAAACTTACTTTGTGGTTGTTTCCCGAAAAGTCGAGTGGGGTTTTGCCTTTGCTGTTTGGCACATCACTTTCATTTCCTGATTGATCATTTGGACTGCAGATATCATAATTTTCTATCAATACACTGGCTCCTGCCTTCACCAAAATGGAGACAACATCTTCATTTGCATAAGCACAAGCCAGATGTAATGTGGTGTTTCCAGCAAAGTTCTGTGCATTTATATCCACATGGCCCTGTAACAGAACAAAACGGTTTGAAAATATATACAACTCAATAGATTTTAACTTCCAAAATGAGGCTGGAGCTTAACTACACTTTCCTGTGGGACAAGTAGATTAGAATTGTGATTTACACTTTCCCCCCTGTATGATATGCCATCCAACTTACGGAAGCTGAAGAAAAAACAGTCGGGAATAAAGGACGATGCTCAATTTGTGGACACAAAAAACATTGCAATATGCTAGTTGAGGAATCAATGTTTGTAATGACAATCACAAGTAGTATGCAGTCAATACAAATAAATTTTATAAAAACTACTGTAATTTGTGCGTAAGTATTATGCTTTATAAAGATAAAAACTTGAGAATGTTTGGTTATTTTTATTCACCTTAATTCAAGTATGTACAGTACCATTGTTCCATAAACTTTTAAAAAAGTGGGTATATTGAAACCTGTTGGTATATGATGTAATTTTGTTTTATGGTATTCCTAGGGTTAAAGAAACATGCAGTTTTACAATGTTGTAGTATTGTTTGAGGTTACATAACATTATAGAGGGTTGGATAATAACATCACTGTCAGGTGTGTGACTACTTACTTAAAAGTAGAATTTAACACGAAATAGTCAACATGTTCTGCCTAGCTGTATTGAAAAACTATTTGGCACTTCAAGCTAGGTGATTCCAAATACTTGTAGAACTATGCTAAATATCAGATTTCAACTCAATCACTTTGATTTGTTATGTACTTTCACAGCAGGTTATAAACTCTCAACCAGAGCTGTAATTATAAACTACACTGAATGTTTAAATAATTTCCATAGAACTAACCATTTTCAGCAAGTTCCTGATGAGATGAGGACTCCACACTACAGCCAGGTGAAGAGGAGTGTGCCCACTGGTCCCATCCATAACATTTATATCTGCTCCCCTAGCACACAGAATTTTCACACACTTCTTATGACCTTGTTTCACGGCAAGGTGAAGAGGTGCAAATCCTAAATATTGAGGAATAAAAAAAACCATTCAATTCTAAAGAATCTGTTCAAAACAATTATAACTATAAAAACACCTGACATAGAAATACTATAATCATTCTAAACAAATCTTTTACAAAAGAAATTATACAGACATAAAATTTTGTTTTGATATCCCTTGCAATATCTGTCTTATGACACTGAACTTAATTATGTTCGTAAGTTTCATTGACATTTGATAAGAGAACTACTATGAAGATAAAAATGTACCTGCATAATTCAGTTTATTTAAACTGGAAGAGATTTCTGTCACTTCATCTGGGTGATTCTTAGGATCCAAGAGAACGGATAGACAAATTTCATCACCGTTATGAGTGGCAATATGCAGTGGAGTATTCCCTTCCGCATCAGTAATGTTAGGGTTAGCACCATGAACGAGAAGCTCTTGCACTATGTAAGGGCTTTTAGTCATTACTGCTAACATCAGGGGAGTCTGTGGAAGAGAAAGAGGAGAGAAAAAAGGTAAGCATTTCTTATCAACTGAGGACAGTACCTTGAATATGCCTTTAAAAGGTTTTTATTTTAAGTTTTCAGGACTCTGCCATTTGCATGTGCTATAATGTGTTAAACTTGTGACATTCCACAAAAGAGTTTATTACTGCATTATGACCAAAGGAACTATTCGTTATTCTTTTTTTTTCTTGCTTGGTACATTATGTTCATCAAAAAAATTATCTAAGTTTTGTAAAACCATTTGGAGTAATCATATTTGTGGAAATTGGTAATTATTTTCATTACAAATGGTTAGACAAATACTTTTAGCAAAAAATCAATTTACATTTGCAATAACACCTTTTCTGTACCTACAAATATTAATTAAAAATCAAGTGAGTTTTAAGTCATCAAATGGTCATTGAAGCTAGAAACTCCTTAATATAACTGAGGCTTGATAAAATGAGGTTTTGAATGCTTCAACAAAAACAAATGCAGCTCAAAACAGTTAATGAATAGTTTCTAATCGCAAGATTATTTTAGTTTAACTATATTAATATCACAATAACATTTAGTTTGTTTTGTTTAATGCAAACTACACAACAGTTTATTTAAGCTCCATCTACTGTGAGGAATAAAATCAAACCCAGGATTTTAGCATTGTAAGTCCATAAGCATACCACTGACCCACAGGAAGAGACTAGGCTAAAGTTGGTTTTGTTCTTAATATTACACTATAAAGTTACACTACACGTATCAAGCAATTTGATAATTGGTCATTAACTTTAAAATTTAAACTGTCTAAAGCTATTTATACAACTGGTCAACAGCCTTAAGGTTATAGTGACTGAAGTTGTTTATATAACAACTGGTCAGCTGCATGATTATATTAACTAAAGCTGTCAATACAATTATTAGTTCTTAACTTCACCAAAAAATTTACTGAATAACACTCTTTTTAGTTTAACACAGTGAATACAATGTAGCCTCACCTGATGCAAGTTGTTACTTTGGTTAATGGTATCTTTGGGTAAATCTTTTAGTACGTGAAGAAGACAGCGAACCAACACTAACTGGTTTGTGTGATTTCCAGCATGATGTATTATGGCCAGGTGTAAAAGACTAAAAAAAAAAGATTATAATAATACTTAACAATATAATTATGCAGAATTTTATTTTCTTTCATTTAAAAGAAAATAAAAAACATTAACTTGAGTAAGCTTACAGCTTCAATTCACAGTGTCTTTTCATATTCCAATAGGTTTGAAAAATGTAATATTAACATGGAAATAAACTGTTTGGTGCTGGTTGTTCATGTTAACAGTTTTTTTATTTATGTCCAACAACTTATCTCTTGCTACTTTTTGAAACATGGAAGTTTTAAGTCACAATAAGTTTCAAAGTTTTGTCCAGAGGATAATAGCAAATAGTTGGCACAATATTACATCTAAAAGGCATTAGTAAGTTTTAATTCTACAAATGAAAGTTTACAAAGCACTTGATATTTTTAAACTTACTTGTCTCCTTCAGTGTCCTGTACAGCCACCAGGTGCCTCATTGTGACCAAGAGTTTTCTGAGATCACCAGAACAAATAAATTCTCTCAGAGCCAGACTCATCTGTAGAGCAAGTTGCCTAACTGGCCGCAAATCAAGCGTATCGCTATCAGCTGTTGATTTTGGAAGATGATTCAACCCACCTGTGTCTGTCATTTTATATAACAGTGGTGGAGTTTCTTGTGTGGTGGCAGAGCTACACTGTTCCCTTGTTTGGGTTAGGAACTTAGATGAGGTTCTGCCTGAGGGATATTGTGACTGAGGAGCTGAGGTAACTTGTCCACTTAATTTTTTAGACTTTTGGCTTCCTGATTTCCTCACATCATGGTCAACCAGAGAAAGCCTGTGAAGAGAGGCTTCCAGTGATTCTTCTGTACTGAGAGAGACTCCACTGGCCAGTTCCTGATTCACTGTTTAAAAATACATTACATCACGAATCAGTCAATGAACCATGGCCTTTAAGTGTTTGAATTTCATGCAAAGCTATTTGAGGGTTACTTGTATTAGCCTTCCCTAATTTTAATTGATAGACTTGAGTTAACATCACCACCACCAACTTTTAACCTTCTCACGCGTGACAAAATAATAGGATCTTACTATTATTCTTAAAGTGCATCCATGGCTCCAAAGTGTAGAACACATTTTTGTGGCAAAGGGCCATGAGCCCTCAGATTCACAATCCAAGCAAGATAACCATTAAGTCGTGCCTTACCCATTTCTTTATACATCCTTAACACTGAAAGTTGCCATTTTGTAACCTGACTGTTTATTCTGTAATAGATTTTGTGTAGAATGTTGAAACTGAAACTCATTTATTTAAATATAAATAATTTTAAAATTTGGTTTACTACTGGTTTCTATAGAGATGTTACAGAATATATAATATTCAACAAAAATTATGTTTAAATTTTTTTGTATAAGTTTGTACATGGTATATAGTCTCACAATATTGGTATTTTATCAAGCACAGTGAAAACAAGTTTCTGTTTACTAATACTTAAACAATTGTAAATATTTGTTTAGTTTTTATGCACAAAGCTATCCAATCGACTATCTATGCTTTATCCGCTGGTGGATATTTAAATCCAATTATTAATGTTATAAGCCTTCAGACTTAGCACTGAGCCACCAGAGGGTAGTTGTAAACATTACTTTAGTTTTATGATTACTGAAATATGAAAGTTAATGCAGATTCTTACTTTATTTTTATAATTTATATTCTGAAAACTAAAATGTATTTCACAAGTTTACGACCTATAAAGACAGGCACATGTTGTAAAACAATTATCATTTAAAACTGTAATGACAATGCCATTTTCAAAAATGCAAAAAGATAAATACTGAAACAATTTCTACCTATGATAAAAAAAAAAGAAACTTTCACTACTCACAACATAACCATATTGTGAATGAAATTTATTCTTACTGATTTGTATCATATAAAGTTTCATGCAGACTGACGTTTTCTCAAATATTTTCTAAATGGTAAATGTCTTATTTTCCAATAATATTATATCAAGCTATATCTTATTCCTCACAGGTATCCAGCATTTTTGCATGTTTTTTGTGTATCATGAAAACTGAGGTTCTAACCTTTTCTTTCTTCTCGAAGAGAAAGAGGTACTTCCTCTGACTGAGTTACTCTTGTCTGACTAGTGCTTAGCATGTTCTGACCTTGGAAATCTACAGGTCCTTGACCATGACCTATATAAAATCAAATGTGAGATTTAATTAATTGCAATAAAATGCCAAATAGGCATTTATATTATAACTACATATTCTCACTACACAAATAATAATCCAAGTTCTTTATAACTTCTTTTATAACTTATATATATAGTGAAATTTGATCTTGTATTTTTTGGAGGATATGTATGTTGAGAAAACAGTATAGTTTGAAATGACTCTCACAGATGTGGACTAACTTATTTCCAATATTTAACAAGCTCTTTCAATTTTCAATCTTACCAAATATTTTGCAGCTTATCTTCTTTAATAAGCGTGCAAACAATTTCAGCTTTAGAGGAAAATTAGTGGATCACCGTTCTTCAAATTATCAATAAAAGAAATAAAACTATAATGCATAATATAAACAAATTGACTTTGATTTGTAAGTTTAAAATAAACTATAATATTCAAATCTATAATAAAGATGTTTCATCCTGTTTTACATCAGAAAGGTTTGAAAAGTGTACATACATTAAAAGAAATAGTTCAATAGCTATAGGGTTCGTACTAGAAACTGTCCTTTTATCTACAAACTCACCAAAGAAACTGCCATTGTTACCTCCTGAAGAACCAGATCCACCAGTAGTTCCAAACGAGTGATTAGATCCAAAATTATTGCATCCACCATCAAATCCGGGGAAGTTTTGATAGTTGTGGACTTTTCTTCGCTTCCTTTCAATTCCTTCTCTGTCTGAATGATATAAACAAGAACTAGTTTATCTTGTCAGAAATTATACAAATTCTCATAACAACATTCGAAGTTCTTAATGTCACACAGTTTATAGATGGTCGTGTCAAGATTTTGTGCACTAGAAATGTTAAAAGTCACACAATTAACTCAGTTATAAGACAAAAACATATTTGTTGGTTTGATATACTTAATTCTAGATGGGACAAATAGATATCTAAATTGCTTTTCTAGGATGCAATTGTAAATCGAGCAATTTGCTTTTATTATGCAATGTTTTGGTTATGATGTAACTTTATCTAAAACCCAACTAAACTCTTACCATGTTCAACTGGGATGTAAACAAAGTCCTTAGGTTTGCTGCACTCTCTATCTCTAGGTCGATACAACTGGAGTTTCACCTTCACTGGAAATTTTATCATTGGGTCACGGTATGGAGGAGTTTTGAACACGATGGCAACCTAGAATCAAGAAGGGTTTTCATTTCACTTAGTGTGTGTGTTAAATTGATTAACAGATGAGATATATATATATATATATAATTAAATATCTCCAGCAATCGGATACACAAGGGCCTGAAATGGCCAGGTGCTTAGGGTGCTCGACTCGCAATTTGTGGGTTCGAATCCCCATCACACCAAACATGCTTGCCATCTCAGCTATGAGAGTATTATAATGTGATGATCAATCTCACTATTCGTTGGTAAAAGAGTAGCCCAAGAGTTGCCGGTGGATGCAGATGATTAGCTGCCTTCCCTCTAGTCTTATACTGCTAAATTAGGGATGGCTAGTGCAGATAGCCCTCGTGTAGCTTTGCTCAAAATTCATAACAAACAAACAATGGAATACACAAGTTCAAACATTTCAAAATGCTTATATTTAACAATATAGTAATAGAAATTGTCCAATAAAGATCGTTAAAAATATCATATATATATATATATATATCCTAAACAATGGCCAGATATAATCCTCTGCTCCTATAAGGCAAAAAAATTTATATTACAGCTAAGAACTACTCTTAGCTGAACAACCCAGTAAGCAAATGTTCTTAAAAATCATTACAAAATTTTAGGGTAGTCAAGTAATTACCATGTGTGATTGGTTAATTATAGAGAAAGGTCAGAATGGATGTGTAAGGATAAGGAAAATTACCGCATGGAATTCGTACATGGATTGGAAAATTATTACATTTTCTCACAGGATTGGTCAACGGTAGGAAAAAGTAACACAAAAGGTTAAACAACAGTGAAGAAATCATCAATGAAAGTTGAGCACGGTAGTTACCACAGAAAATTATACAGTGGTGAATTTTCCACGTTACCACGTGTAATTACCGGCAGCAAATCAGCCTTGGGAGAATTTAAAAAATAGTGTTTTAGTCAATATAGAAATATTTGAATCTTATCCATTACTAGCACAAATACATAATTACTGCAGCTTTGCAAAAGCGGTGACACAAGATGTTACTTACACGAAATATAGCCATCGTTGACCGCAATGAGTGTGCGAGTACTGATTATATATGCCGTTTATGGTGATTGGTGCAGTGAAGACAATTCAGCCTATCAGCATACATTAAACACCTTAGAAGTATATCACTCATGATTGCAGTGCAAAGTAGGGTAGTAAATGTAGATGGTGATAATTTAGTATTATATATTATGCTAAATGCTAATTTATTTTTAGTTACGCATTTTTCATGATGATTTTAGATATCTTTATATGTTTTGATTACTGTTATACAAGTATATACAACACATATAAGTGTGATAAACCAAAGCCACTGGCCAGGATATTCCACTGAAATTATAAGACAAAATTACCAAGGTACTAAGTAAAAGACCAACCATTGACAAGACAAAGTACTATACAGAAGGATGAACAGTGATAGGGAAAAATCACCACAATGGTTTAACAAATGGTGGAAAATATCAGCATATTACCACAGAAGAAATTAACCCATACAATTTGTCAGTGGTAAGAAAAAAAAAGATGTTTGGACAATAATAGGAAAATCTGCCATAAAAGGTTGAACAAGGACAGGGAAAGATAACCCCAGATGTTAGGAAAATGATACAGAAAGTTACCATAGAAGGTTAAAAAATGGAAGAGAAAGAACATCCTAATGTTTGAGTAATGACAGGGAAAAGTGACTATAGACCACTGAATAAAGGTGGGGAAAACCACCTCAAGCATTTGAACAATTACATGGAAAGTTAACCATTGATGGGTAAGATCAGACTTTTAGAATCTTATAGCATTTATGGATGACTCTGTAACATGGTTTTGTATCTAATAAGTTACTATATATTATTAAATCGAACTCAATACATTTAATTAATAAAATAAGAAAACAACCTGGTGGTGAACATCTGCCTCAGTAAAACTCCCAAAATCTTGCCACAGTATCATTCCATTTTCATCTTCTTCAAAGAACATAACTTTGATATCCTCTATCATATTAAAAAAAGGAAAGAAAATGGAGGAGGAGCATTAATTAAAAAACTTAAGATTTCATTCGACACATCAAATTATGAAACATAATAATATTAATTATAATTGTTAACACTTATTTTCAATTTTATACAACAAGTTTTTCCTTCAGCAACACTTCTTCAGAAATGGCACTTTTGCAATTTGCTGCTAATCTTTTTTAGGTTCATAAATTTCTACGCACAAGTATTATTACTAAAAATAAAGCACCTACTTTTGTTAACTTTTTCACACAGTAAAAACACCTCATCACTCCCAGTACACAAGCCAGAACACTTATCCATCCGTACAATCTTGAGTTCCCCAACATCAGGGCACTCTGAAAAGGTGGAATCACTATTTAGCACTCTCAACAGATAAAATTAAAAGAAAAACTAAAGCGTAACTTCTGACAGAAGTGGCTCACTATAAACTGCTTAAGAAAGTCTAACCCTGAACAGTGGTTATAAATGCAATCAGGACAGTTACTTTATTTTAAGAACATATATTGAAAAAATATTAGTAATTAGTGTAAATCATTAAAAGGAAAATGTAAAAGCAAAATTTAACTATAAAGGTCGATCTAGCTGCCTACTTCAACATGTTAAACTCAAGAGGTCATGGTGAAAGCTTCAAACAGGGTAGAGGGTCTCAAAGAATCATTAATGTATTAAAATATCATTATCTAATTCAAAAAAATATTTCAGAAAGGCTTATAAAAGCATACAATACATTTTACACATCAACAACGAAATGTGGCTTATACAGCAAGAAATTACTTTAGTTATAAAAATATCAAGTAAGTGTTTCATTAGCTGGCTCGATACTTAGAGAATTTTTGCTAGCCATAGGGATGTTTTGCTTGAAAGACCAAGTAGGAATAGAATTGAAGAACTGCAATCAAAGTGCAGAAGTATTAATGCTTACTAAAGAAAAAAAATCACAGCATAGCTTCATATTACTTTTTCTATTTATTTTTAATCCCAGAAGATTTAACTGACCACTAATTGAAATAAAAACTTTAAAGTTTTTATAGTTCTCACAACTATTACAACACCTTTGTTGAAACATTTTTTAATTAAAAGAAAATGAAAACACAAAAGTAATTCTGACTTACTTTGGTTTGCTATGATATTTGAATATACAGCATCACTAATGGGATACAAATGTCCAGGGTAACTGTTGCCTTGGGAGACTGCAAAAGCCTCAAAACGAATTCTCACTCTGTTTAAATCCATGTCTTTGGCTTCTCGTTCTGCTTCTTCTCTCAAATGATGTTTTTCGTTTTCTACAGAGAAAGTAATTTAGAACAAAAATCTATCTGGTAACAAGTTACAGTGCTTGATACTTTTTGAACAGTCACCCACCCACCCTAAAAATCACACTATTTATATAAATTCAATTATGTTTAGTAAAAATATCAGCTCTGGAATTTTGATATGTGAATTTTTTTATGTAACAAAAATATTAAAGATAACTGAATACAAGTGTACTTTAAAATATAAAATTATTCATTGTTTTATTGAAAAATAATACTTCAGTTACTGTTAGCACTGAAGAATAACAGTTTGTGCTTTTTTGGTTATTAATATTCAGTTTGTTAAAGGATTTTTTTAATTGATTTGGTTCTAGGTAAACTCTTAAGATAGTTTTTGCGTGTATATCTCGAAGGAATTTATAATTACTTGGTGTGTAGAGCCATTTTGCATTAAACAACTCAATATATTTTGGTCCTCTAATTTCCTCCTGTACAAGATATCTGGAACTTCTTTTTTTCCAACAAACAAAATCCCCAGGTTCTGAAAACTAAGAACAAATATATCATATTAACTATTTAAGAAATGGATAAATTGTATTAAAGTACTGAAAAATGTTTAATGGATTTTAGAAGAACCATTACATAAAAAATCAAAAACTATTACTTATTGTGTTACTTTTATTCAGTTCTAACAAATAAAAATTTAGCAGACATGTGAGCTAGAGTGTAAAGGAAATAAAAATATAAGTTTGTATTAAGAATCCTAACAGTTTACATTTAAACATTTTCAAGTTACATGGAGATGAACCAATCATGACTGGCTGAATCTGAGTACAACCAAAATAATAACTAAACACTGTGACTTTATGGATTACTAGAAATTATAAATGAACCTAGAAATTTATAAGTAGCTTTAGTTCCAAGTAAAAAACAAACAAATCATATCTCTGTGACTCTAGAAACATTCAAGTCACAAAATCTAGGAAAAACAGTAGAAATCCTTTTTGACTAGAGAAATTTTTTACATAACTCTGATCTCAGGAAAAATGAGTAGAAACTGTTTATGATTCCAGGAACTTGTAAGTCTAAATGTTAGAAAGGTCAGTAGAAATGGTACATGATTGTAGAAATTTGTAACATTAACATAAGATAGATCAGTAGAAGTGTTACATGACCCTAAATCTTATGAAGTGCTCCAATTTCACAAGATACTAGCAGAAAACACTTGAATGACTGTAAAATTTTCAATTATCCCAAATGCAAAAGAAAAGGAGACCATGACAAGTCTTATAGTACATGATTATTTACTGAGCTTTTAACACAATAACATAACAATGTTTAGGGACAACAGAGGACCTATTGGTCCATTTCAGATGTCCCATCCTCTAAAAAACTATCAAATAAATAAGTAACAAAAAATAAGACTCTTAAAGCCAGCCTTTATCAACAAATAACAACTTGACAAGTTATTGGAGATATACATACAATTAACTGTAACAAAGGTAAAAGTTATTTGCTAAGTACAGAAAGAAGCTTAGAACATAACCACTTTGAAACATACCATTTTCAGAGGACATTTTACTTATGTTTACATGTCCATGGATAGTTAGTGAAATAACATTTAAGGACAACAAGTAACCAACAAATAACAACGTGACAAGTTATTGGAGATATACATACAATTAACTGTAACAAAGGTAAAAGTTATTTGCTAAGTACAGAAAGAAGCTTAGAACAT